CTGAAAGCTAGCAGAGGTCATGTTACATTTTTTAAACTACTTCTCCTTGTCGTTGTTGTTGTTGTTGTTGTTGTTGTTGTTTCTTGTTAGCACTAGCATTTTGTGTGCAGTATTCCTTAAACGGATTTGTGTAAAACACATAGATTCAAGTATTACCACAAGCTACAGTTATCAAACTGTGCATGATGTGTATCCATGGTATCATTACGAGTGACAGAAGGATATACCAATATAAGTATTTATGTGAAGTACAGTTTGATGCATCTAAGAATCAGTTGATTTCAACTTATAAAGAACAGGATCATACAGTTCAATCAATAAAGAGGTAAAAATAAAAAACTGTCCTATCGTACCTTGTGGTATATGTTCTCAAGCTGATTGTAATGACTGGGGTTCGTAGGCAGGACACATGCACAGAGGCTTTATCCAATCCAAGACTCATAGTCACAACAGGCAGAGGTCAGAAGACAGGCAGACGATATGACGGGCAAATCCATAAAGCAAAAACCACAAACAAAGCAAGGGTCAAAGCATGGGAAATATCAAAGAAAGCTAGCTCAGCAACAGCAGCTTGGAAGGCTGGTACCAGATCAGGATGGGAAGCTGGCACAAGAGCTGCACAAGCAACCAGCACTGGAGGAGGAGCAGCTTGGACAGTCGGCACAGGAGCTGCACAGGGAACCAACACTGGGAGAGCATCCTGGAGGATTGGCACTAGAGCCCTGCATGGTGCCAGCACTGGCGCTCTCTGGAGCACTGGGTGGCACTGTGGGATCTGGCACTGGGTTGCTGGTGCTCTCTGGAGCACTGGGCAGCACCGTGGGACCTGGTGCTGGCTCGCTATAGCTGTCCTCTGCTGTAGTGGTCTCTACGCCCAGCGACCCGCTTGGCAGCACAGGGACTGGAGCCACATTGATATAGCCCCCCCTTAGAGGTTCTTCCCAAGGGTCAAAGGCAAACAGGAAAAGATCCCAGAACTTGGCCAGTGAGTGAGTGGCCCCACTCTTAAAGGCCCACAGGCAGACATTTGTAGCAACGAGGCTACAAGCGCCACCAATTCACAGTGGTAGGCCTGGTACAGCCGACACCCATAAACTCCTATGCCTCTCTGACAAGCTGTCAAACGTCCCCGGGGAGGTCAGCTGGTGTTTAGGACTCGGTGATGGCCATGGCATGCTACTCGCTGCATCCTTCATCTGCAAAGTCTTCTGTAACAATTTGGGTTCATAGGCAGGATACATGCATGTAGTAGCTTTATTTGGGGCAATCCAAGACTTGTAGTTACAACAGGTAGGGGTCAGAAAACAGGCAGGCAACATCACAGGCAAATCCATATAGCAGAAACCAAAAACAAAGCACTGAAAATATCAAAGAAAGAAACTACAGCTCAGAAGGTTGTTTTACACAGTGACTTCACAAAGTCAGAAGCCAAAAAAAAGGAGTATATATATGTTGAATTCAACCCTTAGAATAAGCTGCTGGTATGTATGATGAAGGGGTGGAGCCAGGGAGGAGCAAGAGCTGGAATGAACCATTCCAAACAGGGCTAGTCCAAAGAGTCTCCAAAGGAGGAAGGTAGTGGGGGGAACCTTGTGAAACTGATTTTCTTTCTCCTCTCCCAAATGTCATTGGGTCCTCTGAATTAGGAGGTTTTTAAATAGTTGAAATATGCATATTGCTACATACATATTACAATTACGCTAACACTCCTTCGCAAGTAACATAAAGGTACCCAGATAGCAAATTTGATATGGCTCAAACTTGGGCCACAGTCAGCCTGCGTACCACATTGAATAATGGCACAGGAGAGGGCCAGATGCAGTTGCAAGACCCAGCCATTAGAGGGTCGCATCTCAGCCACCTTTAAACCACCACTGCTATAACTGACCCACCAGTGGGATTTCCACGTTTGCACAATGCCAGCAGGCTCTTTGGCCACCAGCTGCAGATGAATGTGCTTTCATTTTTAAGACTATAATTCCAAAATAACCCTACATGTCCAAAATGTTTACTACACTATGACTTATTTGAAGTAAGGTGGCTGACTTACTTCAAATAAGTTTAAGTTCACTGAACATCAGATACATTTTATTAGTCTATTAACTTACTATTTGATGTTTGACAAAATCAAAATTATGAGCAGCCACAAATCACTTTAAACTAAATCTGAATTATTCTGCAAACTAGGAAATGTAGTAGTGTTCCTAGTACTGAGGTTGACTGTGTTAGACTAAGTAAAACTCTCACTTTAACCCAACATTATTTTTTGTTCAAATACCTAATATATCACATAGGCCAAAACATTTTAGGTTGGATTTTTTACAGTGTGCCATGTCATATATGGTTGAGATCTGAATGTCAGTCTTTGCCAGAAGTGGCCCAGATCTGTTTTGAGATGTGGGCCATGAAAGCATTTTTAGTATGTGGGCCACTTTTGCCAACCATGGGCCAGCAGTGCCACATCTTTACCAGGCATGGCCCACATCCGCATGCTAGCTGAGTAAGACGTAAATGAGCATTTCTATGTAAACGTACAGCTGCTTAAATAGTAATCCACTACTTCCAAAGTCACATACCTACCACACTTGACAAAACTTGTAGGCTTGTGTGGAGTATGTTCATAAAATTGCCAATTTACTAACTACTAACTAATTGGCAATTAGTTCCTTTAAGCAATTTAACTGAAATGAGAGTAACTGAAGTGAGAGTGATATTTGGCAGAAAAATGTATGTAGGAAACAACATATTGACTTTTGAACTTTTAACACAATTTCAGAGGCCTATAATATTTTAGTCCTTGTTTCCTTGTTTTATTATACTAATTCTCTTTCCACTGATAGGGGATTTGCTTTTTTAAGTTAAAAGCTGCTATTTTTTCCTTGTGTCTCTGTCATTGCAACTCTTGGCCATTGTCATGTCTTCCGTGATGTCTGTGGCTACATCAGATAATTAGCGATTTTAACATGTCAATTCTGTGCATTTCTAGAGTGAAATTTGTGACTCATGTCACTGGCTGAATTTTTTGCACTGAAAGAAAGTCACCATGAAGCAAAGACACGTACTTACAGGGGTACATGCACCACTGAGCAAACCTCATTGAAATGAGTAGGCGCTAATGCTAATGACTCTTTCCAGGTCCACCTCCATGGGTCAAACCTTCCCCCAAACCTCCTCTAATTCGCACTCTTTATTGGCTATAGATCTGATAGATTCCATGGACTTCTTAATGCTGGTAATAGATAGTGTGGATGTGGAACTGATAAGAGGGATTATGTTTGTATGGTCTGGAGAGGGGTAACAGAGCGCTGAAGCAGTGTGAGGAATCAATAGCTCATTGCTGGAAGTTATCAGTGAGAGCCAGTGAGAGCTGCTGACCAGTGGGGACGGATGTGTGATGGCCGTTGGGATGTGTCCGCCAGCTGCTGCACCACTTCACAATCACCCTGGGAGAGTCTATCCCACCTCCTCACTCACACTGAGCGCAATCTGCTGTTTGGATCTGCTGCCTCGAAAAAGAAACTCAAACTTAATGCTCTTAGGAGAAGCTCTAGATTTGGGTTTGATACTGAAAATAATCTGTTTATCCCAAACAATTTTGGACCATTACTGTTGGACCATTTAAGTGTAATTGGAAGCTCCAATGACAGAAAGCTGTAATATGTATAAAGATTAAAAACAAAATGTTGTTCTAAGTGACTGTAACATACTGTAGAATAAACTATTTTTCTGGACCAACCAGCAGGCCAGCCTACTAGAGTCACTGTCACTTATGAGTGACTGACTGACTGACTGACTGATACCCATTGTTGAAATGTGCATACATCACCTGAGACAAACAGTAGGTGGCAGTATACACTTATACCCGCATACTCATACCCCAAATGTAATGCTAACATAGTATTAATGAAAGAAAAGCAGAAAACAGTAACATAGTGGTGAGTACTTCGTGTTTATTTGAGCTTGGGCTGTGGACTTCAGTTGGACATTCTCACCTTGCAGTAAAAGTGTTACACAGTTTTTCACTCTTTTATGTGAGGGAAATGTCACCAAGTGCTGGTAACATTACGTGAGCACTAAGTGCATTAAAACAGAATAGTATTTTGGTATCAGTCATGTCTGGTTCCGTTTCCTGTTTAGTGTAAAAATAAACATATGCTTAATGCTTGTTTTAGGCTACTTAGTTCATAGGGAGTGTTAGCATTTGTTATGCTCAGCTTTTCAGAGACTCTAATTTTGAAGGGCTGGGTTATTCGGTGTGTGTGGTTGTAGCTGAGTGTCAGAGTGAGCCTAGAGTTCGCGCAATATTGTGTGTTTCCCTGTTGTTTTGTATGCTGTTTTTCCCAGAAATTGCAGTAAAGCGAGTATGAACCAGAACCTTGACTCCTTGAGTTTCTTGAGGGAACCTGCCTCGTTACAATATTTTGATGTGTTGATTTTTAGAATTAACACTTTGTTAGTGTTAATGTATCATTAGCTAGCTCAGAAGCTATAATTGTAGTGATGTTAACCTATATACTAGCAGCTAACATAGCAGATCGTCTTGTTTCAGTTAAAGCTGTGTAGTGTGCAGCTAATGTTGCTAGGTTGGACAAGCTTTATAGAACATTAGCAAAATGCCATTCAGCATAATAAATTTATGTTGCAGTTTGGATTCACTACAGTGTTAAGTTTCCAGTTTAAAATGCTGTACTACTGAAGTGGATTTTGATGTAGCTAATCAAAATTTGACACATTATAAACAACAATTTGCTACCATGCTAAAGTTAGCTTTCCGTATTTTGACAAAAATGAATTTGTGTGTTACAATTTCTAATCAGATTGAATAGTTTTTAAAAAATTTTTTTTAGTAACTGTTGCTATGAAAGAGTGCATTTGTGGGTGGAGTTTAGGCAGGTCAATTGAGTTTCTTTTGTAAAAACTGGATTATGGATGCATTGATTTCATTGGTGTCTGTGAAATTTCAGTAACATAAATAATGTTCTGTTTTGTGGTTTTTTAAGTTCGGCAGGACAGAAGTTATTGAAAACACACTAAACCCAGACTTTGTGAGAAAGTTTGTTTTGGATTACTTCTTTGAGGAGAAGCAGAACCTTCGATTTGATGTGTAAGTGCATTTTTTACCAAATTCTTTTTTGTTACTATGTACTAAATGTATTTTAGTTGGGTTTAGCATTATTATAAATATTGTTGTCAAGGGATTTCTCATTCATAAAGGGGAATTCCACTATTTTTTTTCTTCAAATTTCAAATTTCGGCATAATCGTTAAAATGTAAACAAAGTTTTTCAGAGCGGTTTGATGTGGAATGATCTGTTCTAGAGGAACTTACCAAGTCACAGGGATGGTGATAGGAACCAGATGTCTGGTTTGATGTCTCTGAAAGCTTTCTTCCAGAAAGCTGTAAGATAAAATGGTCATCAATATGCTGCTTCATGTCTGATACACTGTTTTACAATAATGTTGCAATAGGCTTTTGACCTAAAATGTACTTTTTAAATTCATTTAAAAATTTACACACACATGTATGTTCAGTGGTCAATTTGGATGGTAAATAAAATGGCTATATTTGTATTGTAGTTATCATGAGTCCTGGTTCCTATCACCACCACTGTAAAGAGAACTGAGTCAATACATTTCTCCACAGTTTCTCTCATCAAACCATTGAATGAGTTAGGCAAAAGTTTTGAAAAACTAGTGGACATCCCCTTTAAGGCACTATTTTATAAATAAGGCTTGTCTCCTTGTATTCTGTTGCAGATATAATGTGGACTCAAGAAGTTCAAACATTTCAAAGCATGTAAGCCTGTATACAGTTCTTTCTTCTTTCTAAGACATACAGTATTCTAAATTGTGATTCAATACTCAATATTTATGCTGTTTATTGGAGTAAAGAAAACTAACAGATCATTTTGATCTCTGTGCTGCTACTCTGGATACATGGATTACAGAAAGTAAGTCATGTACATGTTAAAACCAGGGATATTATGAACAGATTTCAAACTTCTTGTCGTAATTTTGTCCTCCTCTTTTTGCCCCCTCATTTTTCTTTTTAGTACAAAACAGCCACATCTCCTGTTGCTCTTTGTTTCTAAGTCAGATTCTTGTTTTAATTTGCAAGAACATAAAACAAACTGTCAGGATTTTTGAGACGAGGCCTTTGTTTTGTCTCTTCATTTGCTTCTTTTGTATGCTGTGTCGTTGTCATTGATTCATCAAATCCATTGCTTTTAGGTTGCATCAGTTAGGCATCATCTGTCTTTTAATTCAGTGAGGCGGTGGAGGTGAGTGTTTGCATGCGCATGCTGATATGGTCTAGACAGGGCTGCCGCTGTGTATTCTTGCCGGCGCAGCTGTGGACGACCCACATTCGCCTGTAACTGATTAGTGTGTGTCTCCTTCAGTCTTTCCTGGGCCAGACCTTCTGCACTCTGGGAGAAATCATTGGCTCTGCTGGGGCTCGTCTGGAGAGAGTGCTGTCGTAAGTGTCTGCTGCCTTTATTCTTCATCTTACAGAGCACAGTCTTAGCTATTTAGAACAAGTGCACTCCCACTCCACTTCATCAAGGCCACAGAACACTGACCCAACATTCTCCAACAAACACCAGCATTCTAGCACTGGCAGTTGGCCTTATACTGTTCCAGAATAAAAACAGACAGCACAAATGAACCTGTGTGAATAGGGGATAAGATTCTAGGGTAGTGTAAATGGGGAGAACATTCTAGAACAATGAGAATAGGGGTGGGGGGGGGGTGTCACAGAATCTAGAATAGTAAAAAAGGAGAGAAGATTGTAGAACTATGGATGAGGGATAACATTTTCGGAACACCGTGAATTGGTATAACATTCTAAAACAACATGAATAGGTTAGAATGATCTAAAACTCTGTCCATGGAGAGAACATTCTAGAACAGTGAGAATGAGAGAGAAGATTCTAGAACACTGTGAAAGGGGGAGAAGATTCTAGAACAGTGTGAATGGGGAGAACATTCTAGAGCAATGTGCACAGGGCCAAACATTAAAGAACAGTGTGAATGGGAGGGATTGTTCTAGAACACATGCATGGGGAGGAAGCATTCTTAAAAAGGGGACAAGGTTCTAGAACAGTGAAAATGGAGAGAAGACTGAATGATGAGAACGGGGTGGGGGCTGGGGATTCTATGGAAAGAACATTCTAGCACACTGAAAATGACATAGAAGATGGGGAGAACAGTCTGGAACAATGTGAACAGGACCAAACATTCCACAGCAGTGTGAATGGAAGAGATTGTTCTAGAACACAAGCATGGGGAGAAAGCATTCTAGAACAGTGTGAACAGTGGGACAAGATTCTAGAATAGTGTGAATAGGGAGAACAATCTAGAATGTTCTAGAACACTTTGTGTGGGAGGAGAACATTCAATAACATTAAATGGAGTTAACATTTTAGAGCGATATAAATGGGGGTGGGGGGGCATTTCACCTTTGGCTTCAATAGGGACTAATTTTGAAGGAGTAGTTCACCCAAACTGCAAAAATTTATCTTCATAATTCATGAGTAAAATTGGTCCACTGGCATTATGCGAAAAAGATTATGATGTCATTCATAACTAGCCATTTTGGTATTATTGGGTGAAGCTTATTCATAAAATTTCTACAGTGTGTTTGCACAGCATATTAGTACACTGACAGATTTATGTTTGCGATATACACTCACTGTCCACATTATGAGCTCCTTCTAATTTATAGATTCACTATATAGATGTATAGGTGTACAATTACAGACTGTAGCCTGTTGGTGCACAACTTGTGACAATGATGTTCAAATCTGAACCGAATTCGAATTTCAACTAAAAGATGATAATATTGAAACTTTACATCACGTGTCAGTTTCATCATCGACAATAACATTATTTGTCATTGTTACTTAGCTATGGACACCGTTATCACTGTTAATGGCATTTGACTGACCTCTTTGAATCAGGCTTAGATGAAACCTCACAGACTTTTGCAGCTTACCCCTAGGCTAGAAGCTGCCTCCATAGAAGACTCAACGGCAAACAAACACTTTTAAGCACAGATTAGTTTGGCCTGTTCCTGTCTCTCTGTAGTAGACCCCCCTTTGGACTCCCCCATTCAGTTATGTATGTATTTGCCTTATCATGCTCATGCAGCCCAATGGCTTTCTGTTCCCCACGCTCAGATTGCACAGCTTTGGCTGATGTGAAAAAGAGAGAGCAATGTGACAGGGTATTTTGAGGATGCCACCAAGTAACTACTGACCGTGGAATTTCCTTGCCAATATAAAGTGCACTTGGTAACACGCTTGTCTGGTTGTGCCCTCTTTCAACTGCACTACACACATAAATGTAGGCTTCTTCACTGAGAGCTATGATGCTTTTATTGAAGCAACTGAACATTTTGATTCTTGTTTAATAACCACTAGTTAGCACTCTGCAAATGACATCATATTAATCAGTAGCTACCGGTTTCCCTTCATTAGCCATATTAGCATGACTGTTCTTTTAACTTGTGCTTAGCTGTAGCTGGTGAAGTTTTCAACAGCATACTAAATATTAAATCCCCAAAGCTCACCACTGTTCCATGTTGTGTAGCTAACAGTAAATGAAAGTGGATAGCAACCAAAGATTAGCATTACACAACTGACAACTTGGTGGCTATAGTGTCAATTCTTTGTTTGCCATGTCAGCATGTTTGGTCACACTTCTTAAAAGTGAATAGATACTAGTTAGCAATATGCGAATGTCATGCTAATAGCTTCTGTTATTTGGAAGCCATATTATGTTTGGTCGAATTGTTCTCATGATTATCTTTACTAAAAAAGGTGATTCTTTAAGAGTTCTTTAGTAAAGCCAATGGTTCTTTTTAGGGCTACGAGGCCTATATAGATCAATTTCAAACTGAAATGGTTCTTAGCATGGTGAAATGGTTCTTTAGACTGATAGAGAATGTGTTGCATATGGTTCTATACACAACCTTTTTGAAAATGGTTCTATATGGCACCAAAAAGCATTCTTCAATTGTTATGATGTCAACCTTGAACCCTTGAAGAAACATTTTACAAAGTGCGTAGGTGGTGGGCTTTTCAACAACATGTCAAAGCTAAGACTTGTCTGTTCATTTCTCTCGTGCTTATTTGTAGCTTGTGTAATTTTCCAAAGTATGCTAAAGTAGCATTTTGTGTTGCTACCAGTGACTCAAAATTAATAGCAGCAGATGGTTAGCACTAAAGAAATGATACTTTGCTAATTGGTGGCTAGCTTTCATTCACTGTTAGCTATGGTAGAATAGTTGGTCAAACTTCTAATTTGCCATGTTAAAGTTCCTTTAAATCATGAATGAAAACAAACCGCCACTAGCATCATCATGCTAACCGGTAGCTATCAGCTGCCTTTCACTGTATAGCCATGTTAGCATGTTATATCATAGCCATGTCAGCATGTTTGGTTAAATTGTTTATTTACCTTGTGTTTAGTTGTAGCTTGGAATTTTCAACAGCATACCAAATATTAAATCCCAAAAACTAACTCTTGTTTTATTTTTGTGTTGCATTCCTATCAGCCATGGTTAGCATTACACAAATTACATTACTAATTGGTGGCTACCAGTTTCCATATATTGTTAGCCATGTTAGCATGTTTGATCACACTTGTTCCTTTAGCTATTCATGCTGAATACTAAATGACACATTCTAACTGTTGTAGATGGTGGACACTAAATCCTAAAAGCTAACTGTTGTTAATTTTGGGTATATTGCTGAACTAGGCTTGCCTTGGACTACATAAAAGGATCAGAACGATTAGAAGGGGCTGTGCTATTCTGCTATAAGCCTCGTCAGGCTTTGAAATCTGGCTTATCTATGACTTTTTGTGTGTGCCTTTGTGTCTTAACTTAGCGTACAGCATGTGATTTGTGTTTGTGTGAGACGAATGCATGAGAGAAATCCCCACACTCCCCTTGGCCTTTAAAGCCATTCTCAAATGCCTCACCATGCCAGCAGACAGCAATGTATTTAAGCAGAAGTGGGCAGCGATTGGGCGTCCTTTAGTAGGTCAGCCTGTTTTCAGGTACTGACTGTGTCGCTACAGTGTGGAAGTGAGGAGAAGAATCACTACTTTCTTACCTGCCCGTTTCTATGGCAACTCACCAAGGTCTCCTGCACTATGCACAGTAGGCTGGGGCTGCGATTGGGCAAAACATCCTCCTCCCTGTGTTTCTGTAAGATAAGGCAGGGGAGTTTTCGGGGCAAGGGAGGCCAACGGATCATGTCTGAGGCGAGGATTTGAGTGTAGCTCTGTCCCAGAGTCGATTTGGAACCTGCTAATGTGTTTTTCTGCACTGGATCAGGTTTGGGCTGAAGAATCTTCTGCTGTGTTCTGATCCTCAACCTTATAGTCTGTATAACTGAACCACAACCACAGTGAAAAATTGAGTTTTTTTGTAACCCATTTAATTCTACTGGTAATAATTGTGAGTGGTGCTTGCAAAGCTCTAAAACAGTTGTTAATGTGTTTTTTACTGAAACCATAAATGAAATTAAAGCCTGTCTTGATTTAATATGAACATTTTTATGTAAGTAGTATAATTTGTCACATGAGCAGAGCCAAGCATGTCAGTAAAACATGTTAGAATACAGATACTGCTATTATATTTGGTATATTTAATCTTTATTAGATCTATTATTGATATTTTAATAAGATTGTACTACCTCATTTATGTCATGCTCATATTATATGTAGACATCTCAGTGGCCTCCATTAGCTGCTGATATCTATCCATGGATTATTTTCCTATAGCTTTCTTTTGTTCTGAAGCTTTGGACAACAAAATGACCCAATAGAGACTACATGCAACATCATTATACATCATCATGGCTCATGTTTATCCATTTATTTGTTTTTTGCAATTGGGTCTAATTGATCAACTGATGCAAATTTGACTCTGTAGTTTCGTAACTGTCACAACTGTGACCAAGAATAAAACTTTTATTTTCATAAACCTTTCCGAAACAAATTTTGAAAAGAGATGCAGATTATTGTAAACTTCATTTACACATGCAGAAAAAATATGTACTCTCATACAGTACTTTGCAAAAGTCAAGGATGTTGAGTGTTACAATTTATTTTTCAAATAGTGATCTTTCTTTCAGACTCATAGCACAGAGTTGTCTTCTCAGAGTGGAAGGACGGACAGAAACACCTGTGGATTGTTTCAGATCTCAAGGAAGAGTGATGCTTTATTTTCTACTCTCTCTCAAAGATGAAAGCTTTAAGTGCTGTTAATCTCATGGGGACAGTTTTGATGGTCTTCCAGGTCTTGTACAGTTGTTATTTCTCTGCATATTCTCTGCATTCCTCAGTTCTGGAAACTTCTGTTTCTTTAATATTCTCCTTCATTATGCAAATGGATTATCTTGTATCTAATCTTCCCAGAAATACATACACATTATCTAAGCTGTTTATCCATCTGGGTGGTGGTGG